CTTCCACTAGGTGGACTTCCTGATAAACTCCACTGAATCACCCCACAGGCCCCTCACCCCTGCCGCAGTGTCTGAAATATCTCACACATGCCCTGTAGTCATGACAATCCAAACACGAAAGCAGCACTTCTGCAGTGTCCCACAGCACTGAGTGTTTAGACACTGGTCTCCTCTCCAGCTGGGTTCCTCCTTATCAGTCAACAAATGGACCCGGAGGCACATATACCCTATGCTGCATAGCAGGGAGACGTGGGCTGCAGCTGCGTGTGTGCACAAGGAGAGACACGATTCTTCACCTCGCGGTTCCTTCCTCTGCCCTCCACCTTACTCCAGAGTTGGAATCTCTTGGAGGGTCACACATGTCATGCAGAGCCAGCTTCGACACTCCGTGGGACGGGCCAAAAGCTCCTGTCACCTGGGCCACTCAGTCAGAGATCACGGCAGTGGAAAGGTGGAGGCTCCATTCGGTGTCGTCAGTGAAAACAGGTTCCCTGTGAGGCCCACCACCACCCTAGTCCACACAATGTGCCTCCTGCACATGGCATGGGGCTTCAATAACCCAGAAGTTGGCAGCCTGAAAATGGGTGTTTAATAGGAGAGTTTGCTTTCTTCTTTTAAAGGCTCCCAACAGCGCCAGCACCATACTGTACAGGATCGATCTTAATTACCGTCCATGTGGAATTTTTTTTCTTGTGGCTCTCTTCAGTGAAAAAAAAAAACATTAATGAGAAACTTTAAAGGCTTGTTAACAGTGTCCTCTCATCAATCAGAGGCGCTGTCAGGCTGGGCCCTGCTGTCAATTTGCACCTCCCGGCCCAGCATCCACTTCCTATTTCCTCATCTACTCTGGCCCCCAATCCCACCACAGCCTCTTGTTGGAGAGGCCCTGTGTGATGGAGACCAGGCGGTTTTCATCTGTCAGCAGCTGGAGCCATGGGGTCCCGGCATTCTGAGGCCCCCGGATGCCCGTGCTTGGTCACCTGGAGCCATGTCAGAAGCTATGGTTTCTTTGGGCTCTTACTGGCCTTTGGCTATCACTTTTCCTTTGTTTCAGACGGACAGACAGACAGACAGACAGACAGACAATGGGACCTGAAAGGAGCCTTTTACAGAGTCTCATTTAATTTTATCCAAACTGTTCAAGTGAAATTGCTAGGATTTTAATTCTTCATTTTTTTTCCTTTGATTTTTTTGGTTGCTGTTTTGCAGTATCTCCCTATGAAGTCCTCCCTAGCCTAAAACTGGTTAGGTAGACCAGGCTAGCCTCCATCTTCCTGCTCCTGAAACTGGCTAAGTAGACCAGGCTGACCTCCATCCTCCTGCTCCCACATCACAAGTGCTTTTTAAAAAAATGGTATGAAAGACATAGGTCTTCCTAAGCAGCCCAGGCTGGCCTTCAAGTTACCATCCTCCTGCCTCTGCCTCTTCAACAGCTGCAACTACATCCTCTGTGGCCTTCTGTACTCTGCTAATTCTAGACTCTTAAATACAGACTTTGATACAATGTTCATGAAGACAAAGGGTGTACAGAGATGGCTTGGAGGAGACCTAAGAAATTTAGCTTCCCACCCAGGGCCCCTATCTGCCCTCTGTGATATAGTTGTGAGACATGAGTAAATAGGACACACAGGGACCCAGACCTCTCCCAACAGGAGGAAGCTGCAGAAGTTTTCGCTTCTTGAGTGGACTTCCAGAAAAATCTTTAGGGTAACAGGAAGCCCTCCTTGGCTTGTATAGTAAGCCAACGTGCCTGTCACTCCAGAGTCCTACCATACAATGTCTGAAATCAAAGGAGCACCGGACTCTCTGGAATGCTCCTGAGGGAAAGGAAGGGTTTCACACAGATGCAGCTGCCATCCCCTGATCACTGATAGCGTCTAGGTCTGAGCTGACACTGAGATCCACAGAGACATTTTGTTCCTGAGGACTAGACCTGGGCACATGGTGGAATACATGCAGCATTTAACTAGTTTTCAGTGACCCCGAGAAGCTGGAGATGGTCCGCAACCCCTTCCTTGCCACTGACAACACCTGCTGTGGGCTTTCTTCTCCATGTGCTCACAGGGGAAAGTTATCCTGACAGGGCTGAGGGCTCGGTATGACTGTATCAGTGCTAGGTACACTAGGTCCCTTCTAAAAAGGGGACTTGGGGTAACAGGGCAGTAATAGAAAGTGGAACCTACGGAAGAGAGAGGTATACTGAAAGACATCAAGGAGTATGGATCTTCTACAGCCCTGAAGAACATTCCAGAAACTCATCCAGTTACCTCCCATGCAAGTCTGTCCTTTCCTTCAAAGTACTCACTGCCTTCACCTGTTGCTTCTAGAATCTCAAAGAACAACCCCTTTATCCAATAAAGCTTCTTAGAGGAACATGGCTTCCAAACCCTGGACTGCCCTTACTCCAGGTTGGAGATCCCCTTCTTGGGGCAGAAAACAGGTTAAGCTTGCATTTCTGTTTCTTCCTCACCGGACAGGGCCACAGGACACGGGTAAGTGGGTGGTGTGTGTCTTTCATAGTGAAGAAAAAAAAAAACTCCCTTACTGGGGAAACACATGCACTTCCGAGTTTCAGCCTTCTTCATGACCAGCGGCACCTATCTATTCTGCTGTCAGTGAGGTCTGAGTCTTTGGCCATGATGGTTTATGGAGGTGGCAAGATGACAGGGAGGCTGGCAGAAGCCTCAGCGCAGTGACAGCTGACACGCAGCGCGGGCCTCCGCCTCGGCATTCAAAGCGCAGGAGCTCAGGCCATGGAGACTCAATAGGTGAGGGGGACCTGGGGCCAAGGCCAAAGAACACAGCTTTCTTGTTTCAACATTTTCTTTTTATTTGGAAAATATGTTTTTGTAACTCTTTATGCCTTTCCTCTTCCTCTTATTTTCACAAGCTGCGCTGCAACCCTGAGCCGGAGCGGCTCCAGGCGACCGCGCGCGCCGGCGTTTCATGTCAGCCTCTGCAGAGTTTATCCTTGGAGCAGTACACGGTCACTGCGGTGAGCCCTGATGCTGTCAACGGCTACCTCGGGGCATCTAGGAACCTGTTATGACAGCACCGAGGAAACCCTCGGAGAGGAGCGCAGACACGGCTTTCGTCCTGCTCCAAGGGCAGGCCCGAACACGCCTGCTCGTCATTCCAGGCTACCTGGAGCTGCCAGGTTGCCCTTGCGGCTTTGATGGGGTTGGTGTCCCGGGCGCATGTGGCTATCCCATGCTGGGGGTTCGGCCGTGGATGTCTGTACAGCCCCAGGCTCCTCTTAGAGTCTGAATCTGTTTGGAAATGTAGCGATCACAAGAAAAGCTCCCATTATGTAGGCCACCCAGGCACAGGAGGCCTATATACAAGGCACTGGCCTGGTGGCCCACATGGCAGTGGAGAGAAGCTGCTCAGAAACCGTTGAGTTCAACCCTGACGCCCACCTTTCAACTCCTTCTTAAGCAGAGAGGAGGCTGGGGTCTCCCCAGCACACTGCAGCCACGGTGCCCTCTGTTGGAACACACACACACACAAGGCGCAGGAGGCTGCAAGGCCCAGAGTAGCTCTTTGAGAATTCTGTTCTCTTCAGGACAAAGGCACCAGACAGTGACTTCTCGGTGCCGGAGACATCAATGTGGCATTACTCGGACGCAAGGTATTCCAGGCCTACCCACATGTCTTGCTGATCATGTCAGAAAAAGATGACCCTTTTAGAAAAGAAGCAGAAAGTGCCCTGGTGAAGCCAGATGGGAGGAGGCCAGTGTGCACGCCCAGCTCTACCTGAAAATGCACAGGATACAGGGCTCACCATAAGAACGTGACCTACTTCGCTTTGTGATGACAGGTGACGACCAAACCCACCAAGTGTGGCATTCGTAATGCCTCTTCACAAAAATACCAGAATTAGTGCCGCTGGTACAAGGACACGATAAGTCGGAAACCAGGCCTGCGGTTTGTTTACATGGGTGCTAAGGTAGCACGCAGTACCGAGCTCATCAATGCAAGCTCCTTAGGGGGCTGTCCCTCCATTTCAGATGACATGGGTCGTTTCCGCGCTCAGTGAAGCCGCTACAGAACCTAGCTTTCTGCTCCATGACTGGTGGTTCGATCCTCCGATCTCAGGCTGTTTCTTTGTCCAGACTTTCACTTTTTAGGAAAAGTCCACTTTAGAGCTGGGAGGCTGATGTAATTGCAGGGCATCAGAAGGAGCCATGTGGTGGACTGGGCGACAGTCTGCAGCGCTGGCAGCAGCATGGGCTGACCACTATTACTGTGGATGACCTTGAGCACACAGATCAACATGGGAGAGTCGGGACCTTTACTGGTCCTGGATCCTTGACGCTCCCAAGAAGGACCATGTCCCTTCCACCTACATACGATCCAGAGCATTTAAAGACGAGGAAAGCAAAAACAGCTGGGATCGGGAAGTGACCTGAATGCCTGAGGGCACCAGCCCAGCCAAATTCATGCCCTGTGTGCTGTTCAGTATTCCAAATCATTTCTGGAAGATACTCCCCCACCCCCAATCTCATCGTGGTAGACCACAGTGCCACAGAGGATGCAAGACACTTTCCTGGCAGGTGGAGAAACAACGCAGACCCTCAACAAGGTATTTATCTCCTAGCCTGTCCCTCCTCCAGCCAACGAGGGTGGGGTGTTGGGGACTGAGTGGGGCCTGCCATCTCCTAGGATAAATGGCTTGAAGGATGACTGGTGTGGGGAGGTCCCGCTAGCGTGGGGTCAGCTGTGTGGTATGGACAGTCTGGGGTGGCTAGCTGTTGTCTGCAGGTGTCAGACGCATCTCCCTTCATGCAAAGGGGCCCTAAGTCTCACAAGGCCTTTCTCACTCTCACCCCCACGTTAATAGGCATTAAAAATGGAACAGTAATTATGTCAGAGAAGGGAGCCGATGACATCCACAAGGGTGGGTCGTTTCAACTCATTCTGCTGGAAAATGTAGAAACAGGAAAGGACAGCCAACTCCCGTCCCCCAGGACACATCTAGCTTTTAATATAGTGGGAACCACCACCGCACCCCCCCCCCCCCGCTTCCGACACGCCTTACAGTGTTGTCACTACAACAGCCACTCATTTCCGGCCAGATGGCTTGGAGCTGCTGGAGCCACGGGACGGCCTGAGCCAGGTCCCAGTCAGACCCAAGGCCTTGCAGGTTGGCTGCCGGGTTGGGATGCCCTCATGGGCCAGAAGCCACTCCTTCACAGCCTGCCCTCCTCCAGAGTAATTGCCAAGGGTGCCGTCGCTGCAGATCACGCGGTGGCAGGGGATGAGGATGGGGACCTGAAAAACAGGAATGCCACTGTCAGTCTGGCTCGAGGTTGAGGTCTCTATGCTACTGACAAGGTCCTGCCTGTCCGGCACTACCAGGCTGATCTCCAGTTAGCAGGTTCCTGGCATGACCGTCATGCTGGTTCCTTCAGTACCCCTACTTTGTACCCTACAGAGGCCCTGAGCGTATCCTTTGTGGGATGGACATCTGTTCTGAGGTATATAAGGGATATGGGATTCTTTGTATCAAGGTTTAGGAGGACATCGAATTGCACCTGAGGGGTGATTGAACATGTGCCCCTACTCAAGTTATTTGTATATATATATTTGTATATAGTTATATTTATATACCTGCATTTCTGAGTTCCACAAGACTTTCTGATGGCACCAATCTGTAACTAGAATCTTCAGGGATGGTGGCAGGCCCAGTTTACCCAAGGTGTTGGCAAACCATGGCTGTGAAGCTGATGCTGCCTACCTTCTGATTTTGTAAATAAAGTTTTATTTGAACACAGCCATGCCTTTGGCTGCCATCTGTGGCTGCTTTGTGAACACACAGAATATTCCCCAGTGGCCCTGCACAGGAAAAGCTGGCCAAGCCAACTTACGCTGTGCCTGTGTATTGGGAGTTTTTCTTTCCCTTTTCTTTGGGACACATGGAATCTCAACGGCACCTGTGTCTACACCTTCCCCCAGACACAGTGTCCCAACAAGGTCCGTAGACTAGGAAGTTCTTATCAGGGTTTCTGCGGCCTCCCAGCTCAGATGGTCTGAGGTACCCATTTCTATTAATCTGTGTATTGCCACATGTCTGTGGCTTACTGGTGTAAGTTCCAGCATCTGTCTCCAGGGGCTACATGGCTTCTCTTTGACTCCACCCTTCTTTCTCCCAGCATTCAGTTTTACAACAAAGCGTGGGAGATGGGGACACGATTTCCCACACCTCACACACCTTCTCCTGCTTTGACTCCGATGGCTACCGTGATGACGTGGACAGATGTCATGTATGAGTAGTTCTAAGGACTACTGGCATGACAATCGGGAAGGTGAGAGCTGACCATGCACCCGGGGTGAGAAGTGGCATTCCAGGTGTGCGCAGATGACAGCGTGTGACCTTGACAGTGTCTGACCTTGACCTTGAAAGGAGTCACGACAGGTACTGAGAATGGAACGTTCTGACTGATTTATATAAGAAAAATGAACTACAATAGTGACAGAGTCAGAAGACTGTGAGGTGACACCAACCCTTCAGCTTTGGTGGAGACAGGCATGCCACTCCATCTGATCTTGCCGACTCTGAGATGCATATTCCACCACTTTCCTGGATAGCAGGTCTGACCTCTCAGCTTTGACGTTTTTTCTTCCCTCTCAAGGGATTATGGGATTACAGAGTGAGCACCAAGCACACCTCTCTCTGCTTCCTTCTGTGGATCAACGCACAGTCGAGGGACTGCCGGCACAGAATGCAGGTGGATGGGTGACGTACTCACACAGCTCACCTCCAGAAATGGACGTCAGGCTAGCAACAGTTCCTTGCTGGGGCTCCAGTAAGATTTACTGGGGCTCCATCCATGGCCATATCTGAAGGACCCGTACCACTGCTGCCCTCTTCTTGACAGCCCCTGCTGCAGGCAATGCGATTGCTAGCGATACTCAAGGAGCCTGTGGTATTACAGCTTCATTGAAATCTTCATGCTGTGAAATCTAATTTGTCCAATACCCGGATCCATCACTCGCGCAAGCCCTTTCTCAACTGCTATAAAACTTCCAAACCCATAGATTTGTCTCCAACAAAAATAACATGAAGGGGCCTTGCGATCGATAATGGAATCCCTCTGATTCTGGAACTGGCTGAATATTTCTTCCAACTTTGCCTTTGTTCTTCTGGGCAGAGGCCACAAGGGAGAAAGCTTGTTTTCACTCGCAGCCTCATCAATACCTAAATCCTGGTGAACGAGTGACACCGAGAAGTTGTAATCAATAGCTCCCGGTGCGTTTTTTTCTTCTGGTCAAATGGTTCAGCTCCACTGACAACCCTGACACTCAGAACACGATGCTAAATCTTTATCAACAGCCATCTGGGTGAATGGCAGAACAGGACTCGGGGGTCATCGGTGCTCAGGGCAATCTGCGAATAAACTAACTCCTCAGGAATGTGTTTGTTTAGAAAAAGGTGGGAAACTCCCTCAGCTTGTATTGATTGCCTCTGAACTACATTTAGCAAATTGTGTCTGAGGATGTGGCAGAAGGGGGTTCTGTGAGTGAGCTAGTGTGTGTGTGTATGTGTGTGCGCACACATGCGTGTGTGCACATGAAAAGTCATTGGTCCTGGGCATCCCTTATTCAGGGTGGTGTGGCACCCTCCAGAGGTTGCCCAGTCTCCTGGCAGGGCCAGTGAGTCTCACTTGAAAAACTTAGGAGAAGCTGAGTTCCTGGATGGAGGAAACTCCCACCCTGCAAAAGGCATCTCCTGTTCTTGAGGTGGCTAACCCAGCAATGGCCAGTTGTGAGGCCACATGGCATGAGGTTCCTGCCAGCCACCAAAGCAATGATGTGAGGTGAGGCCTCCAGTGCCTGGGGCAGTCTACACCTTTCTACCCCTCCTCTCGTATTTGTGAATAGCACTGCTTAGCCAAAACATGAGAACTTTATTCTCTATAAGCTTATGCCAAATTGGCGGCTTTGGGGTAAGGAGGACATATACAGCCACCCCACCTTGGACCCTGTCCTCAGTGGTGCTGAGGATACCACCAACACAGGCAGCAGGCAGAACCTACCACTGTCCAGGCCTTTTCTCCCTCAAGTCTCATTAGCCCCTTCTCATACTCGTTTCTAGGGTTGCTTGATGGAGACTCATCACCAAAGTGGATACGGTATGTGTCCCAGTGGGTACCCTGGGCAGCTGAGCTTGTTCTTAAAGCACAGATGTTAGCTGCACTCTGAGCAGAAGCTGTGGTGTTGGTGCCCACTGATAGGACCATCTTCATCATCATGTGAGTACACACGGGAAGCTTGGAAAACAAAACAACTCAGTTCCTAACTTGAGTGTGGCTAAATACCAAACCGTTCGTCCTGCGGCAGGAGTCACCTGGGCAATGGCAACACCTCCTCCTCAGCCTCAGGAGGGATTAAGACCCGGGAGTGTGGTGCAGAGAGACCTACTCCATTCAAAGGCCAGGACCGTTGGTGTGTGTTCAAAACAGTAGCTGCAAGGGTGCGGTAGGAGAAGGGTGGAAAGCGTTGGCCTCCTCTGTTCTCCAGGGGCATTAAACGGAGTCACAGAACAAAAATGTATTGGAGCTGTTTCTTTGTCTATAACAAAATCTAATGCCTCATGGCCAAGCATGGTGATGAATGGCTTTAGTCCCAGAACTCAGAAGGCAAAGACAGGTACCTCTAGGACTTCCAGCCTGGTCTACAGAGAGAGTTCCAGGTCAACCCCAGGGCTCCATAGAGAAACCCTGTCCAATATAAAAAAAGAAAAAGAAAAATCTAATGTGTCAAAATCTAGCTGTGGCCCAGAAATGGTGGCTGACCAAAAGGCAGGAGACAAGTTTTGCTGGGAGACCGCAAAAGTCATCCCCAAAGCCAGGTGTGATACATACCCCTTTAACCTTAATAACTGGGGGGGAAGAGGCAAGAGGATCTCTGTGAGTTTGAGGATCGCTTGGTCTACATAGTGACTTCCAGGACTTCCAACGCTACACAGAGAAACCCCTTCTCAAACAACAACAACTACCCACCAAAGGAGGCTGAGACTGTCCGATTCATCAGCGTCCCTTCCAGACAGGGTACACTTCTGACCAGGTGGCATTTTTCTGTCATGTTAGAGGCCCGCACAGCCTTGTCAACACGACAGCACACCTATACTGGCACAGAGAAGCTGCTCGGGACATTTAGGGAACCTGGAGGCAGTCAGTGCCTTCTTGCTCATGCAAGGCCCACAGGCCTGCAGGGCCTTGGCCTGGACTTTAGCTGTTCCGGGGGAACCAAAATACCCACTGTAATGTGGAACTACAGGCTGTCTCTAAAAGCGTCACCTTCTTGTGGGCTGGGAACTTGGAGCTCAATAAACTCTGACAGATTTGCAGGAAGGAACATAAATAAACGCTGATGCATTCTGGGGGAAGAGCCGTTCCCGGCGGAGCTGACACCCAAGGACAGTAGACATCTATGATGCTAGGTGTCACATCTCCTAGGCTCATCATACCCCAGAGACCCAGGGAGATGGGGTTGTACTGTTTCACCAAAAACCTTCTCAGAAGGCTGGTGCCACATGGGCAGGCCTCTTGTCTTCTGGACATACGGCTGCATTTCCAGTGGGTGGAAGAAAGCCACCACTCACCAGGCACCCAGTGTGGGGACTAGCCAGTGGGTAGTGAATGAACGGACAGGCTGCCCTCTTGTCTGCTTGCCACTCTCCAAGGACTCATGTGGCCGGGACACGAGGGTCGGTCCCTCTCCCAGGAGTTGCCTCCACACCCGGCCACATAGCCTCTGAAATACATTTATTCAAATGACACTCGGCTCCCAGAGTGGTTCAAAACCCAGCAATGGCAGGTATCCAGCCTGCTGGCCATCTGCGGGAACTTACTGGATTGCTCCTCATTGCTCCTCCTACTGCGCGAGCCGCTTTGGGGTTGCCTGCCAGGGCTGCTAATTGCTGGTAAGAAACCATTTCTCCGAATTTCACAACCTTCAGCAGCTTCCATAACACCTGTCTCGTGAATGAATCTGAAAGAAAGAAAACAGAGTGACGTGATTTGGACCAACGGCTCCAGCGGCTCAGATATAAATAGCTGCCAGTTCCCCAGCAGAAAATACAATGACACAAATAGAGGTGTTATACTCAATTAAAACACAGGCCTCCACACAGCACCCTGTCACGGTGGCACAGGCAAGGAGAGCTGGGAGGGAGCGGGGCACAAAGCAGGTGGGCCTCGGAAGGCTTCCCACATCTTTAATTTCTTTCCATCTTCCTCGTGGTCCATGTGGAGCTGTGTGGGATGCTCTTTCTGTGAGCGGGCAGGCACGCATTTGCACACAGTTCAATTAGCAAGCCTGGGAGCCCCTGCTGGCCCACCTACGTGGAAGTCCTTTGGGCTGCTGGTTCGTTTCCAACTTCAGGTGCGACGCAGGAGGAGGAAGTCTCCAGGGATGGGATGGGACACTCTTCTAGCTGTCAACACCCAGCAGTGGGCAGGACTATCCCCAGGGCTGCTCTGAATGCCAGTATGCCCAGGTTGGGGTGACCCTGGCTGCAGGCATCTTGACTGAGCAGTGCGGCAAAAATAAAGCACCTCTCCCGTTTCCTCTGACCAGCCACATCAAGCGCCATGCATTTTGTGACTGCAGCAGACATGGCTGGGCGCGAGGCATAGCCAGCTCCCTGTTGCCTCTGGGTTCTGGAATCATTCCTTACAATGTACCTTAAAGAGGGCAGAAGCCCAGGCAGAAGGATGAGTCTGGTGTCAATGGATTCCTCTTGTCTTCCTGAGGGGACACACAGGCTGGGGAGCAGGGAGGCCAAGCCATATCCACCATCCCTGGGGCTACAAGACTTGGGGCAGGAGTTTCTGATGGGAACAACAGAGAGGAGGGGAGGGCTCCAGGGGCAGAGACACATCAGGGAGTGTGTCCTCCTCCACAGTGCTGGCCACATGTGGTGCCAAGCTGGCGGGGAGTGTGATTCGGTCCTTACAGGAAACACACCCTTACATGCATGTTAAATAATAAAAATCACTTCTTAACTGAAGGGAATGATAATCACTTCACTGGAGGAAAAAAAAAACCCTGTTTAGTCTTTATTATAACATTAAGCAAATTAAACATCAGCATAATCCAGGTGATACTAGAAAAGGGTCATCAAAGAAATTAACTTTGTTGTTCATTAATTTACATGGATTAGTAGAGGGCACAGACACAGCGAATGTGCTCTAGTTTTTTTTATGATATAATTTCAAACTGTACAGCATTTGTGGCAGGAGGGTGACTTTGGGGTTAATCAGACTGATTTGTCCTTTTAATTGCTTTCTATTCAAAGAAAATTCATTAGATAATGTTCTCTTCAAAATTCATGAATCAATTTAACTGAAGAAACCGCATTAACGGCTCTGGGTTCATTAACACATGCCGTTTGAGTGGCTGGGTGCTGGGAGGGTTTCCTTAGGCAAACAAGCTCTGTTTACTGTCTTGCCCTCTGAAAGGGGCTCCGAATCACCTTGCTAATCGTACTTATTGTTACTGTTGTCTGAGAAAATCAAAGGAAGCAGGCAGAGGAGGAGAAGGCTGGCAGGCTGGGGCACCCTGAGAAAAGCTTCAAGGAGCTGCACGGGGAGGGAGCAGAGGAAGCAGCCCCATGCTGCAGGAAGCAGGAGCTGCCCGGCCTTCCTCAGAGGGTGCAGACCCGGTGGGCTTTCGCCGCCCATGCTGTGGCCCAGAGAGAGGGCTGTGACTGATATTTCCAGAACAGCCTAGCACTTTAATAACCTGCTGGGATTAAACCAAGGGACAGCCTAACTGGAGCAGGTATGACTGTGAGAGACACTGGCATTTACACAATGGTGGCTCCCAGCCACGGGGTCTCCGACCATGGACTGTCAGGTCACCGAGCATCTTTCTCCCCAGGTGGAAAAGCATCTGGAATGAAAAGTCTATGTGTTCAGATACCAGTATAGAATCTCAAACATGTTCGGCTTTCTAATACTTGTTTTTATTTTATACGTAAGTTTACTTGCATGAGTGTACATGTACCACATGCATGGCTGGTGCTCATGGAAGGCAGAAAAGGGCATTGGGTCCTCTAGACTGAAGCTGCAGGCTGTTCCGAGTGCTGGGAATCAAAACTGGGTCCCCTGAAGAGCAGCGAGTGCTGTTAACCACTGAGCCACCTTGACAGCCTCAAGATCAGCTTTGCTGTCAGTTTATCCCTGGAAACTTTCTGTTTTTATCATCTTTCCCAGACTGGCCTTCAACTTGTTAGGTGGCCTTGAATTCCCAACCCTTACATTTCTATCTATTAGTATAGAATTACGACAAGCACATCACCGCGTCCCATTTTATACTGGGGATTGAACCAGGCACTCTATCAATGCAGTTGCATCCCCAGGCCTGGTAACTAGCTCTTAACCAGTCCACGGTTCACACAGGGCAACAGCCAGGTGGTTTTCAACCTTCCTAATGCTGCAACCCTTGAATACCTCGTGGTGTGCTAACCCCCAACCATAAAATTATCTTTATTGCTACTTCATTGCTGTAATTTTGCTACTGTTATGAATTGTGATGCAAATATGCAACCCCTGCGAAAGGGTCGTTTTTGACCCCAAAGGGGTTGTGACCCACAGGTTGAGAACCACTGCACTAGGCAGTCTGGCTCAAAGAAAGCAGCGTTTCGTAATCAAGCACATCCTTTTTCAAATGTATCTGAAACCGCTTCTTCACTCTGTAAGGAGCAAATGCACTCACTAGTGGAAGCCGCTCTCAGAGACAGGCCTCTAACCAGACCTGGGCGCAGTGGAGATTTGCTTGCATCTACACGCGAGGAAGGGGCTGGCACTTTTGCGTTAAGAACCGGTTTTCAAATGTATGCGGATCTGCTCACATGAGCTCAATGGGAATGTGGAAAACACGGTTTCTGAAGGTTGATGTGGCTACATAAACCCTCGGTGGCTGGCCGAATCATGTTAGGTGACCCAGTGAAATCCAACCTTCCCCCGGGGTGGCTCTCCACACAGTAAGTAAGCCAGCAACCCCAGAGCTATGGGAAGGAGTCCCTGCATGTTATAGTGCGGTGTTCTTCAAGCTCGCCTGTCTCTCACGGCTCTTCTGAAGGCTTCCTCTCTCCAGCAAGCTCCTCTGCCCCAGGACTTTGTCAGGCTGATGCAGCCCGGGTCAAAGCTCTGCCAGAGGCTGCCCTGCCTTTCAGAGTCCCTCTCTGAAGGACATGGCTCTGGTGGCTTGTGCATATAATGAAGCCACCTAGGCGGAAATGAGTTATTTATTTAATACCACCTGGACTCGAGCTCATCAGAAGCGGAATGGACGCTGCTTTCCAGAGTGGCGCTGTGTTGTAGACACGGGGAGTTTCAGACGTATGCTAAGGGAGTGGGAAATACAGCCTTAAAAGGAAACGCCATCTCCACTCCTGCACTCAGACCCATGAATGAAGCTCAACTACTTCTGAAAAGGGAGACCCCACACCAGGATGTGGTGTGAGGAGGCAGTGGTCTGGCTCCGCCCACCTTCCTTCTGGAGCCCCTCCCTTTCTACCAAGCATTGCAGGTGCTGCTTTGACATCCCAGGTCTCTCTTCTGCACCACTTGAGTACGGGACAACCACAGGGCTGGCCTTCAAGGCGCGGCTCAGGCCCTACCCTTCCCCTGGAGCCTGGTTTATATGTCCAAGGGCAGTCCACACAGCTCTGACTTCCATAGGAGATGCCTCTTTCAGCGCTGAGCCTTGAGTTCATCCTGGACCAAGATATTAGGAGGGCAGAGGCACAGGTGCCTTACACAGGGTCCTGCCCAGGGAGTGTTCCCTTGGCAGTAAGAGGTAGCTTGAAAGAGACTCTACCGAGGCTGGCACAGGCCACAGTCATTTGCACTCACAATGCACAAGCTTCAGAGGCAGCCAGAGTGAGCTTTTGAGACATGAAGTTGAAATACAGGTTGGAAGGAAGTGGGCTCCGGCTCCAGATCACACTTGCCTGGTCCCTCCTATTCAAAACCTTTCTGGAACCCTGCAGATGTAGACAGCAGCTTAGTGAGGGGGAGCTGTGATACCAGAAGTCAGGAGATGGGGAAACATCAAGATGATGAGCTGTAATAGATTCTTTCCATCTCAGGCTTGGCTTGCTATAGTTCTTGCACTGGGGAGAAAGGAACCCATTGACAGCCAGAAGAAGAGGGGGATCACCACTGTCCCCCCAAATGCTATGTTGATGCTGGAATATGGTGGGCCCAGGAACCTGCATCTTGAAAAGCAGCTGCCCCTTTCTGGTGGCAACAGGTATGAAGGTAGGCAAAAGCCCTTGTTTTTCCTCCCTTTTGTCTTTCTGCTGCTCGGCCTGGATCTGAGCTCAGGCATGAGGAGTCTTCAGTAGAACTTGAACAAAGCCCAGCTCGGGTTCTAAGGCACTGAAAAGGGAGTCCAGAGAACTGGAAAGCACCAGGGGGACTGTGGAGAAGGTTTTTTTTTTTTTAAATTCCATTTTATTTATTTATCTGGAGTGCGCCATGGCTTAGCATCTCATCACATTCAGGATGGCCAGACTGTAATCCAGAATTGCTGAGTATGTGCTCGTGGTTAGAACCACGTCTGATGCCTAGGGAGAGGTGAGCCATGCTGGGGCTGACGCTGATGCTGGACTCATTTGATAAAACCTGAAAGGATGTGTTAAGTAGATGCTGCAGGAAGGGGAAAGGCTCTCGAAACAAATGGAAAGCAGAAGGTCTCAGCAAAGAAATGACCAAGAAGAAAGAATGTTCACAAGAATGACCAAGAAGAAAGTTTAGCCCCAAAGTGTCAATAACCTGACTTAGAAATTGCTCTTCATGGGACTTGTATGACAATGTGCGAGGAAAAGGCCAAGGATCTGCGGACAAGCCAAGAGCATCCCTACCCAAGCTCTGGGAAATTCTATCTAGAGCAACACAAGTCTCCAGGAAGAATTGAAGATTCATGGGACACGGTCAAGTGATCTAATACTCTTGTTGGATTACCACTAGGAGGAGAGA